GGATGGCAAAGATTCATATGTCTCACCTGATGGTAAGCGGCTATCATAGCCAATAGACGCTTGAGCTCGGTGTCGTCCCCAACTTCCCCAATCACCTACCCCATGGAGCCCTAGAACCTAACTAACCGACAGAAACACAATGTTACCAAAAGGTAGTGTAATTTTACTGTGATATTTGTAAGGTGGATGTTACTTCCCTGACCTGGTGGTCATAATGAAATCTGCAGACGTTAGTAATCTAACCATCAATCCACTACGGCCCAGCGTTTTAGATGTGGTCAGCTCTTCCTATTCCAAACCTAGCGGTGGGGACATTAATAGGCTGATGATGATAGCGGATGTTCCAATATAAACAATAATTGGATGCGTACCTAGCACGCAATTATTGTTTATATTGGAATCTTTTATAGGGCAATAAAATTAAAAAAGTGCATAAGAATAAGCTACATAAAAATACAGGTGAACTGGCAAAAACATAACATTTTTCGATGACGTCAAAGCAACATCATGATTTGCACTCTGATGTTATCAAGCATTTACAACACGCGAGATTGCGTGGTATATCTACGCATTCCACCAGTTGTAATCCAAGGACCACTAGTCGGGACGGCTATGTTGTGGCACACATTCACGCAAGCGTAAACCAATAAGTACCACACCGTACCCAGCATCCCGGTCATAACCACTTTAAACCGATCCAGGGATTATCCATTCAGTGTTACCTAACAAGTCAAGTTGACCGGAGTCTTATGACCAGCTGACCAGCTTCCGTACCTAGTAGGCAAACAACTTTTACCCTCTATAATCGGGCATGACAGAGATTCTGGTGGAATTTACCGTATATAATTCATACGTACCCATTCCGTAGCCTCATCGTTATCATCAGCCTATTAATATTCCCACTGCTGGAGTACAAGCCTCCTCTTTACATGTAATAAGGAGATTGGGCCATGACGCAGAACGTGGGCTTAGTTCGGATTGGTGGGTGCTAACAACTGCAGATGCAGCCAGGACTACCGGAATTATGTACCTTCCGAAGCGCGGAGGAGTTAGCGATAATAAATTTTGGCCGCCCATCTTGTGACCGACCATTGCGAAAGTTGCTTAATTTTCACAATATTACCCTCAACGCCACTTTAAACATTGATTAGATTTAGATACTGCTCATTATAGTTACATAGTTATTATTTGCAAAGTGTTATCATAATAAAACATGATACATAGCTTAAATTTGTATTGTTCTAAGGCAAATACAGCAGAAGTATGTGCCTACAGATATACGTAAAGCAAACCAACGACGGCGCCAAAGCGTTTCATATTAATCTCATTTAAATTTCAGCAGTAAACTATTAAAAAATCCACACGGACCAGGCAGCGGACGAAAATTTCGACGCGGCTAATAGGGCCGTGGTAGCATAATGGTCAGTGCATTCGCCCGGATAGCGAAGGATGCGGGTTCGAGTCCCGTCCGCTGCCTGGTCCTCGTGGATTTTTTTCTAGTAAACTTATCTTTAGATTTAAACATCTAGCAGTTAAATGCTTAAAAAATAAATAAAATCATAACTATAATTGCTATTTCTTCTTTCAAATGTTTTAATACTTTAAAAAAGTATTCATTTGACATTGTGGGTTGCCTACAATGCGAAGAGATGGCGCTGCCTTGCAGCTTAAGGCTAGGAAAATTTCGACGCGGCTAATAGGGCCGTGGTAGCATAATGGTCAGTGCATTCGCCCGGATAGCGAAGGATGCGGGTTCGAGTCCCGTCCGCTGCCTGGTCCGCGTGGATTTTTTTTCTAGTAAACTTTTCTTTAGATTTAAACATCTAGCAGTTAAATGCTTAAAAAATGAATAAAATCATAACTATAATTGCTATTTCTTCTTTCAAATGTTTAATACTTGAAAAAGTATTCATTTGACATTGTGGGTTGCCTACAATGCGAAGAGATGGCGCTGCCTTGCAGCTTAAGGCTAGGAAAATTTCGACGCAGCTAATAGGGCCGTGGTAACATAATGGTCAGTGCATTCGCCCGGATAGCGAAGGATGCGGGTTCGAGTCCCGTCCGCTGCCTGGTCCGCGTGGATTTTTTTTTCTAGTAAACTTTTCTTTAGATTTAAACATCTAGCAGTTAAATGCTTAAAAAATAAATAAAATCATAAGTAAACTATTAAGTTACCGCGGCAGAAGAATGCGTTTCATTCATACTTATTATGATATAAACCAGTTTTTAAATAACTATTTTTAAAACTAGAAATAATAAATTATATTTTCATAATTATTTATTTCAGGCCATATATACCCTTAGAATATACAGAAATAGAAAAAAAAATATTATAAGATTAAATAATCACATTAATAAAATATATAAATTACAAATAATTACAATTCATCTAGAGTAAATTAAATCTATCCAATAAAAAAAAATAAAAAAAAAACAAAAATAAAAATAGTCAAAATTAAATAACATCGATTTCTAGCAAACAAGGATGTCAAATATCACAAATGTCATATTAACAGCAGTCATACAGTGCTGGATACGAGTAGCCCAAGATCGATCTGAGTGGCGTGCATTTGAAGAGGCCTATATCCTGCAGTGGATTAAGATGAACTGTTGATGATACAGTGCTACAGCATAGAAATCATGAACCGCAAACATGCCCGATGCACTACATCGCCACGGCTGTTTAAGCATCGCCCTAAAAGCGTTATTGCACACGTAGCGTGTGGTATGCTCTCTTTGTATAGTTGTTCCACAAGTAGCTGGTATAGAACAACTGCAAGCTGTAAGCGCCGAATGGGGTATTTTTTACAGGCGCACTACATCGAGCAAATCTGCGGGCTAACATGTTACTTTTGGCGGCAATGGATCTTCTTGGCTTTTTATGTCAACGTCATCATTCAACATATTTCTTATAACATGTCCCAGGTACTTAAATTGTGATCCGATTTTAAGCTGCGATCCTGCCAGAGTGACATCAGGGTTAAACATATTCGTCCTACAACTGAATATCATTACCCCGTCCATAAGGTTTCGTAGGCCCCTTACAGAAGGACTCAGCAGGACAATGTCTTCAGCGTAACTCAAGTTATTGACAGGTTGATTGCACATGTAACAGAGAATCTACTGAGTTCATCCGTAAGTGCATCCACATAAAGAATAAATAGGGTCGGCGACGTGAGCCCACCCTGCTTCACGCCACACCCCAGTTTATTTTCTTTGGAGAAGCCACTAACCCATCACAACACGTTATTTTCGGTTCCTTTCCAATATTTAATAGTCCCAGTATCTCACCGGGCACACCTACCCTCTCAATTTAAGCCCACAATATGTCATATTGTATTGTATCAAAAGCGCGACTGAGATCAAGAAAGCACGCATATACTCTTGTTTTTCGCTTTAAATAATATTTTACTGTAATTATTAATGCAAAAATGGTCATATCTGTTGAAAGGCTAGCACGGAAACCAAAAAGTGCATTATTTAATTTAATATACTTTAAAAGTTCAGATGTAGTATTCTGCCCAGGATTTTAGACATGATGGTAGTCAAAGAAATACGGCAATAATTAATGAAATGGGAGTCATTACCAGATCCATGCTTAGTTAAGGTTACTTCAATGGTTTTCATAATTCTGCAGGGGGAGAACAATGAGACAGGCATAAGTTAAAACTTTATGAAATAAATATGTGTAATTATTGGCCCCCGTATAACATGCGTTCCACGCTCAGACCGTCGTGCCCAGGTGATTTACCTCTTTTCATGTTTTTTATAAATGGAAACAACTCCGCAACTGACAAATTGACACTTATAAAGGACTCACTGACATGTTGATCCGAGCTACTGATTTCTTTTTACAATTTATTTTATTACTTTTACACGTACGTCACTCATACAGTTTATAATGTTTGTGTACATAAAATCAATAAGTTTGTGATGTACTTGGCCACTACACAGCAAGCCAGCGCAATGCATATGATATTGGTTTGTGAATATTTTGTGCAAATAGCTGTGTATGGTGCTATTCGGTTACTGTTTCTAGTTCCCCACACAATTTGACTATTTTGATTATTTATAACTCAAAACTTTCGTTGGTATAATTACTGTGATATCACTTTCAATTACTAAAGGATAATGATCTGGCCGTAACACATACAAAATAATATATTGTTTTAAACTTTCATGGTCTCTAACATTATAGTAATTTGTATTATTTTCGGGATTGCCATGTACCTTGCTTTAAGCGAGTCCCCGATATTTCGGCATTGTTGCAAGCCCTATGATCACGAAAGAACTGGTACATGTAGCAATCCCGCAAATTACATAAATTATTATTTAAACGGGTTTCATGAATTTTCGAAGTTAAACAAACAAATTAATTCAATAAACGTGAACACTTAATTCTAGTTAATTCTTAAAAAAACATTGCAGATCCTTTAATTAGGCAGCGACAATTGAACACTGTGTCTGTGTCAGTAATTTAACTTTCTAGATAACAACAACAGAGTATAAAATTTTCATTCTCGCTAATTGAGCGCGTGCGTGCGGAAGATTTTATTTAATATATTTTTCTGTTTAGAAATGAGTACAATATTGTTTCATTATATTTAAAGCATTTTTGCTTGATACAAATAACATTAAATGTGAATAAAAAAATATTAGACAAAAGGAAATCTCAGTTAAATTGTTTTGTTATATTTTCTTTGATCGAATCAATAATTTGCTCTTTTTTTATTCCTAAAGAAAAAAAATACTAGATACAAAACTCTAAACCTTAAAACTTAACGCTAACTTACCCACTCGGTTTCGGATACAGTACCTATCTATATTGTTATATTTTAGGAAATATATCAAGAATCTGTTTTATCATCTACGAATATCTTATGAAAATCGTGTGGTTCAAAATCAGACAGAAGTTGTTGTTGTTTAACCACTATTCCTTAATTTTATATTCTTTGAAAACTTACCTAATTATGATTTATGAATGTCAATGTTTTACTCACCTTCTTGCATTTCTAAAGTTTCCCATTTATTACATCCACGAAAAAGGTTTTGACACTATTTTGTTCCTTTTTTATATAAATTAAGTAGTGTGCACGAACCAATGAAGATGAATTAATTACAGGGGCATCTCCGTGGTCGGTTATCAAACGATAGAACACTGAGCACAACTGAACCGGCGCCGGCGTCTCAGTGCGGCATAAAGGCACTCACGCCATGAATCAATATATATTTACAATGTCATGGGCTTCTCGGGCCATTGATACCGGTTGTCACTTGAAAATATTAATTGGCTCCTTGCCTTTGTCTCTCTATAGATCGCTAGTGTTCAAATCTTCAATGCCTACATTCAAAATAAAACGAACAAACATTAAAGAATTACACACGGCCTTTTATAGTAGTGAAATTCTTTCAACATTTTTTTTATGATAAAGTATTTTTATTTTCTGTAACATTAGTATAGAAACAACAAAAAATATTGGACTTTTTATGTCACACGCCAAGTTTTGCTTTGAGCTGTGTTAAGATTATATTTTTAATATTTACACGCATTAATTTTTTTCATAAACACACCAATACGTCTAGCCCCAAAGTAAGTACTGAAGGCTTGTGTCCCAGGATATTAGGGTAACGGATAGAATGTATACTGATACTGAAATAAGTGTTATTTATCTAGAAATATACATATATATGAAATACCATCCATAACTAAGGTACAAATGCAAATACATCTTACTAACATTTGCCCCCACCGGGATTCGAATTCGGCACCTCTGAGTAGTCGACACCTTGAAACCCGGCACATATAAGTACCACCCGGGCAAGGAGGTCGTCACATAATACCTGACTATCGTACGGAAATAAGTACGTAGTCGATTTCATAATAAAAATGTTTAATTTGAAAATGATTTCAGCTTTTATTAAAAAGAAAATAAAAATCTAATGATTTACATTTTATCTTTAAACGATTAATATCGTTAAATTAATAGGTACCTACGTTGCGAGGTTTTCGACCCAAAAGAAATTAGATAGCCTCCGTCATGAGTCGTTAGTCTTAATTAGCGGAAAAATTACGTGTGTAATTTGGCATTAAATGGTAATGAATAAAGGACCTCTTAGTATTAAGAGGTTCGTTAGAAAAAAAAACCGCTTATAATGTCTTAGTAGTTATTACATAAGAAAATAAATAAAAATACCATTTGCGCAGCTGTCGGAACAGATTTTGTTGTAAAATCGTATTTAAATTGTTGTAATTTGCAAACTAGATTACCTTTAGGAGAGGTTAGTCATAGCGGATGTTCCGCTCTAATTGGAGCGCCCGTCTGGGGCAGTAACCTTCACCTTAGAGACGACCACAGTAAAATCACACTCATTTATGTGGTGTTGTATTTCTGGCGGTGAGTGAGGTTGTAGGGCTCCACGGGTTAGGGGCTTGGGTCAGCGTAGGTAGCGGCGCAAGTGTTTTTTTTATCGCAAGCGTCTATTGGCCATGGTGGCCGCATTCCATCAGGCGGACCTTATGCAACAAGCATGCTACCCTCTTACCATAAAAAAATAAACTAATAAGTTTTCAATGACATTAGGAGCGGACGCGCGCCGGTTGTGATTGACGTCCTCGTTGGAGGATTCTATACTGAGACTGCTCCTTTCCTCTGGTATACTGTCGAAGACCCGCCAAAATAGGAGCAAGTTGGATCGGGAGCGAGTTTCCGGGGGACGCCGGCTCTGCTCGTTTTCCGGGGAGGGCTCGGTGGAGCTGGTCGTTAAACGGTACTATGAAATATCTAGAGTGTGTCACGAGTTGAGGGGATTGTACTATAACGCGGTCCGCTTCAAGAGAGGCTTAAATAAAGTGTTTTATGAGACGCAGCCGCATGGCTATGTCACTGGCATTGCTGATGTCCATGGATGGCGGTGACCACTTAACATCAGGTGGCCCGCAAGCTAGTATGCCTTCGAAGGCAGTAAAAAAATACTGATAAGCTTAAATGCTAAGTTAAAAACTATACATTTTAAATACATACCTACTTACTACTAATAAGTTAAGAAGTAGTACCTTATGTTTTTTTTAAGCATTTAACTGCTAGATGTTTAAATCTAAAGAAAAGTTTACTAGAAAAAAAATCCACACGGGCCAGGCGACTCGAACCCTCAAAACTTTTCTTTAGATTTAAACATCTACCAGTTAAATGCTTAAAAAAATCATAACTATAATTGCTATTTCTTCGTTCAAATGTTTAATACCTGTAAAGGTATTTATTTGACATTGTGGGTTACCTACAATGCGAAGAGATGGCGCTGCCTTGCAGCCTAAGGCTAGAAAATTTTCGACGCGGTTGTCAGGGCCGCGGTAGCCGGATAGCGAAGGGTGCGTGTTCGAGTACCGTCTGCTGCCTGGTTCGCGTGGATTTTTTTTAGTAAAGTAATATTTTGTTTGAATAAAGCAATAAGATGAGTGTTTTACTAAGGGCCTGGAGGCCTACTCTATTTCAACGAAAAACGAAATTTCGATCGTAATTTCGCACGTTCCTTACTCTGTTTCTATTTCATTTCGAAAATTCGTTCGTCCGAAAATAGTTTGACATTTAATTTCTCTAAAACTACTCTAATACACAAAACTTTTGAACTAAAAGTTGAATTTGACAGATAATTGTTCGAAATTTTAACCTCAATTTGATGAAATGAAAAGTGTTACATTTTCATTTTCGTTTTGGGTTTTTTTGTTTAAATTAAACCTAAAATTACTAGTGAGTATTTTTAATTAAGGCTGCTTAGCGTGAGGAACATCTTTTAGTATGAAAAATTTACAAATAAATCTAATTTTTGTTTAATATTGTATTGCCAATACTTCAAAGTATTACACGACAAATTTAGGTTGACATACATTCGATTGCATAAACTCTACAAATTAGTCGGCTTACACTTACAAAAGAGGTTGTTTTAATGTAATTAAAAATGTTGTCATAATGTAATGTTGTTTTGAAGTAAAAAACGTTATCTAAAAAGTGTTGACAAAAAGAACTCACAAACATAACTTATTCCATTCGTTCACGATAATTGTCTGTGATTCCGAACTTTATGTGCGTGTTCGACGATGAAATAGAGTAGAGTCACTGGCGAAATTTCGTTTAAAATTCGTTCGTTGCCGAAATTTCGTTTCGGAGAAAGAGAGTAGCGCTCCTGTTCCATAACCGATAAGTAAAGTCCTAAGAGTAAGATTCCAGGCCCGCCAGACCTTACTAATTTTTTGATGGACAAAATAATTATGGATAATATAGTAGTATTATTGTGTACAATTAAAGTTTTCAGCCTGATACCTGGATTGGCCCACAGCGTAAGTTAGCGAGTATGCATACATTTATTGTACGCACTAACACTACTCGATCATCCATATTTTGTCTATAAGAACCAGCTTACATGTGTAATCAATTCGATCTTAAAGGTGCGTTGAGACATCGCTTTACTAAATAGCATTAGCTTATTACTCATCTCGTCTCTAGAGGTATTCCAGGCGGATGGCATCTTCCCACGAGGGGAGTCTCCTCTCTGTCTGGAGCCTCTAGACCACTCAAACCTGAGGGGTCGGCTCAACTAGAGAGCGTCCCTGAGATTCGGACCTCGGCTCTAGATAGCCGTTGTCGTGGAGGGCGGGTCCTGCAAGTTGCTTCTTCACGCCTCTTTTAAAGGATCTCGGGTTATGGGAGGGAGGGAACACGTGAGCGGACAAAGCATTCCTTTTGCGGATCATGCGACAAAGAAATGAGTCATCATATTGTTGAAAATGTTTACTAAAATAGAATGCGATAAATTTCGTCTGCATTCCTTTGTCCATTTTCGTTTTACATCGTAATTTTTAAAATTACTGTGCAACTTTATTACAAATGACAGCGAAAAAGTAATCCTAAATGTAGCTTTAAGTAGTAAATTATCACAGATGAATTAGAGGTAAGGTATGAAAACAATGGATTTTGCTCTCGAACTCGAGCGCCTATATAGGGGTAAGTAACAGCGCCTTGCACGTGTTGGTCGGTACCTTAGTACGAGTTTGAGCTGACGAAAACTATCATAGTCTTCGTTATTGTAAATTATGTTTCTATGTCCATTTTGGTGAAAAGTAACCAACTCATCATACTTAAAATTTAAGAAGACGCAAATGATTTAATGATAGAAAGTAAACACTGTTTATATGTATTGAAACGTAAACAATAAAAAGTAGTACCCTTAGTACGAGTGCGAGCTCACGAAAATTATCTTAGTTTTCGTAATTGTAAAACTCGTACTAAGTGTACATACAGGAACTCATTATGCACCGTATGGGCTGTCATGCCTACTGGCTGTGCGTGTGGACTGAGTGATCTTTTCAAAAAACTCATCCAATCACAACCAAATTATAAGAGGATTTAGGAAATAATTGTGAAAACTTAATGGTAAGGTATAGAATTTGTGAAACCGAAACAAAGAAAGTTAGAACTAATTAACTGGATCACTCAATCTGGACATCTGAAGAATAAGCCATAACGCGTATCTAAGAAAATACTACCTATTTGTTTATAATTTGTATTTGAAATAATTGTGAAGAATTTGTGAAAGCTGCTTAGCAAATTTTCGATTCATTTCAAAGCCACTTTAAGATTTAGAACGGTTTATATGGATCACTCAGAATGCACTATGTTCATTTGAGTGATCTTTTAAAACACTACCTTATACTGAAAAAGTATGAAACATTATCATGTTCATTATAAATTATGCTTCTGGGAAAATTTGTCAAACAAAGATCGGGATTGAAATCTTACTGGTTTAAGAGAAAATGAAAATCTTGTTTTTTCTCGATGGTCCCAACTGAGTGATCCTTATCTTGAACTATATTTAATAAACCCAAACTTATAGGTAGAAGGTAGTTACATCAGAAATTGTGAAAAATGTTGTACTAAAATTTGACGAACCAATCGTCCCAGTAAGTGTTATATTTTAAAAGACAACTCATTTTTTACAATCCTTAAGGAAAACGTTGAGTAGGGTGACCATATCGGTTTACTTGAGTACCGAGAGTTGTGTAAGTTTTGTTTTTAGAAGTTTTAAAGATGTTTTTAGAGTGTTTTCACTACTTAATACATAATTTCAACATAAAATGACGTTTTTAAGTGACAAATTTTCAGCAAAGTTAGGTATTGTTACACTGTATTAGGTTGTAGCAGCACACA